CAAACTGTTCGTACCATTGTAACAATTGTGGCTACTAGGCATGATGGCTATGTTCCTCCTCCACATTAGTCCATATTCTGAATACCTATTGCTGGAAACCACAGGAGGGGAGAGTCCAGTGCTAGATTTAATTCCCCACCTGCGAATGCCCGTGCTATTAGATGCGAGGATGCAGAATGGTGTGGCAGTGTCAACAAAAAGAATGATGGGCACATGCAGACACAGGTATTATTTAAATACAACTAGACATATAAAAAGCATTAGTACTCCCTTCTGGGAATCCCTGACCTTTGGTGCTCATGGCTTAATGGAGTCTCAGAATAAAGCACTAATGCATTAAGAAGGCTCTTATAAACCAAAGTTCAGTTCCATACCAAAAGCTACAGTTTCAAGTCTTGGAATCAATGCACCTGCTTGTTACAGGTAGGAAATCCCTTGATTCATGTAATACAATCTCAACTTTTTGACCTCATTGAAACCTTCAGTTGCCCTTTAGCTGTGTATCAACTGTTTTATTTTATTTTTAAATTAATTTTGTTTCAGTATGCATTTTATATAGCAAAAACTACCTTCCCTGAATTCATTGTTCAAGTGCACTAAAATATCACAGAATTGTAGAGTTAGAAGGGAACACAAGGATCATTGGGTCCAACCCCCAGTTAGTTAAAATACATAAACCAGAATCAGATGTAATCAAATATTAGCAGTGATATGACCCACATAGCATTTCATGGAGAGCAAAAATTAAAAGTGCATGCAGTTCCTAACAGCTTGATCATATACTATGAAGTGCATCTCTCATTAATTCTAGCAGAGAGCCACTCCTATGTTGACAACAGGCAGCTTCAGCCTTGCTTCTCACCATAGGCTCCCATTAAAGCCATCAGATAACCACAGCAACTTAAGAATGTGTATGTGAAACCAACCTGCCTCTCATGTGGGGAGGCCCCAACCACACCCCTCCCTCCCTTCCCTGGCTCTCACCCAGAGATGGGGATCTATAATGAATACAAGAGTGCTCCCTGCCCCAAACTCCTCCATGGGAGAGCCCAAAGGGATAATATCCTTAGTTGTCTCTCCTGTGACATACCCTCCAACATTTCTCCAATGAGAATAGGGACATCCTGTTTAATAATAAGAATAAGAATAATACCCTGTCCATCTGACTGGGTTGCCCCAGCCACTCTTGGTGGCTTCCAACATATATAAAAACATAATAAAGCGTTAGACGTTTTAAAAACTTCCCTATACAGGTCTGCCTTCAGATGTCTTCTAAAGGTCGTACATGTACCTATCTCCTTGGCTTGGGAGTCACATAACTGCATACCCTCTGACATTTCTCTGATGAAAATAGGGATGTCCTAAGGAAAAGCGGGACATTCTGGGATCAAATCAGAAACCGGGACAGCTTCTATCAATCTGGGACTAGCCCTGGAAAACAGGAACACTTGGAGAGTCTGCTGTGGAAGCTGCAAACCTCTGTGGTTTGCTTTCAGAGTTTCTATTGCTGCCCTAGTCAAAAATTCCTGCCTCCATTTTTAACCTCATTGTTTGGATTCTCATAGTTGTTTTACACAATTGTGCGTTTTATTTGTGTCATTTCTTTTGCATCTTCCTGATACATTCTCTTTCCTACACCTTTGAAATTAGGTAGTCAAGCCCAGAAGAGTAAAATAGTTAACATGAAAGCAATTTTTCACAACCTAGTGCAATAAATTAATAACTGAGGCAGAACCAACCATGGGTTGGGTGAGGGGGGAAATGCATAAAATGAAAAGAAATGATTAGTATTGTGTATTGGAACAGACAGGACATTTTTTATTCATTCCAAGAGCATTTTGAAGTGTCACTATATATTTAAGCCAACATAATGTGTTGACAGTAAGCTGTTCTGTATACATAAAACTGTTAAACAGAGTATAAAATGAATGTTCATGTGCTGTGACTCCACATGGGCCAGTAGATAACAGCCCTCATCTCATATGTTGCAGTTGCCAATGAAAACAAATATTTCAAAGTTACCAGAAATAATAAATAAATAACATGTTCTTTAAAATAGCACTTAATTAAATATAGCCTGAATCCACTGTTATTCTCAACATTTAAATGTGTGGAAGAATTCCTGTTGCAGTAAGAGTCTTTGTGGTCATATGATATGCCCCCAACTTGTCTGCTTGATTGACTGATCAAAAACATCCAACCGATAAAAAATTGAAAATCTGAATGCTAGATGAATTTTAACAATAAATAAATCTGTCTGCATCGTTAACATTAGACGCTTGGAATACAATAACCCAGCAGCTTACATGGGGGTTACATTCTGGGGATCTCTCCTGAAGCCAAAATCATGTATCATCAACCCATTGGTTTCAATGGTGGGTGTGATTGCCAAAGTCATTTTCCGTGGAACCCTGCCTCCTTTCTGCTCCTGAAAAGAAAAGAAACACACACGTAAAGCTGAATGCACACAAGTTAAATGTGCACAAAATGTGGGCTTGCTGTATTCACAGTCTGTATAGGTAATATGTGGCGTCACATCAGGGTACATCCCATATAGTAAAGAAAGTAAAATGTCAGACAGATTTTACCAGATGGCTAAAATGTAGTAATAGATGAGTAGTGTTTGTTGAACATAACATGGAGAGGAGAGGGAAGTTACACATCAATTATAGTAAAAGAATGGGTTCTAGACCAGGTGAACAATTCAATTAAAATAAAGTTAGTGAGGGAATATTGACATAGGTAAAACAGCAGAAACTCTAAAGAGGAAGACAAGAGACAGAATTGCCATAGTTCAGTCGTAGAACAGAAGGTCCCAGATTCAATCCCCAGCCTTTCTGAATCCCTTGAGAACCACTGCTGGTTAAGACAAAAGTGAGCTAGATAGAGCTAGAGGCAGCTTCCTCTGTTCCTAGACCAGGAAGCATTTCTAAGCAGTGGCTGCATTCCAAGAAAAGTTAGTCACCCTCTTGCATCCCATTAGTTACAAGTAACTTGTCCCATTGGATTCAGTGAGACATTATTGTGTTTCTGATTTAGGGATAGTGGGTGATACCCAATGTTAGTCATACTCAAAGTAGATCTATTGGAATCAGTGGAGAAGTCTTTTTTATTTTAATATGTCTACTCTGAGTATGATTTAGTTGGATATCAACACAGTGTTTTTAGGAGTAATAATTCCCCAGTTTTTATTCATGCATTGCAAGGATTCACCCCACCGCACCCCGCTTCTGTTAGCATGGCAGGAAGAATACATTTCCCAGCACTCGATGGCAGTATTGGTCACCAGAAGGAGAAAAAAACCCTCTTTCAAATAGCAAGAAAGTTTACAGACTAACCTCCACAACCACTGCAATGTTAGCATAACATAAACATAAAACATCAGCATCCAGGGGGAATGAAAAATTATGCATGCATACCACTTACATAATATAGTTTGATTAATTAGAAAGCAACATAAAAGAAAAAAATAGAAGATGGACATATGTACAATCAACAAAAATTCAATTAGCAATTTGCCAGAAGGGCAAATTTAGTAATAGCCCCTATAATACATATTTCTTCTTTTTTCCCCCTTTTCTTTTTTAGTAAAATCTAATTGGCATGCCAATAGGATTGTCCATAGTCAGGTGAAGCTTCTTGTGGAAAGCTTCCCTCTAAACTTGACTACAAAACAGTAAATAATGTACAAAGTCTGCCACTTCCCCTGAATTATAAATGCATTGTTGATTTTCATAGGTAATATTATTCACTCTCTCATGGAACACCATACTAAGCATGGAGAGCAATCGCAAAGATGTAAAAGCATATCTCAGCCTATAATCAGAGAGACACTCATCAGTCCTATGGCCCCACTCGCTGAGATTTGCCAACCACAGAGAAGATTTTAAGTTGTTTACTATTTCTTGGTCCTCAGTTTCCAAGATTTTCTCTTTAATTTTCTGTTGTATTTCTGAATAAGTCAGATCAACTATAGAAAATTCATTGTGTCACTTTCTGATAGATTGCAACAAGAATTCCTTTTAGTACAAATGTAATTTTTCCAGTTTATGGTAAAATCATAGGTATTGCTCCATTGAACATGGTTGTATGACCATCATGAACTCAGTCTGGCTACCATTTTTGCTATCACTAGTGGCAAACAAAACAATTCCTCTCCCCTCTGTATTTATAATTGCTTATTTGTTCTTTATATGTGTGTGAGGCTATTCTATGCATCCTTAAAATAAGTGTTTTTAAGCTAGAGTCCTCCCAATTGAGCAGCAACTTGCATGAATGCTCATCTTTAAACAAATTAAAATGAATGCTCATCTTTAAACAAATTAAAAGTGGGAACACCAGCACAGCTTCTCTCCCCCATCATTAAGCCTTTGTGATTATTCTGTTCTAGGCAGTGGTCACGGGTGGAAGACAGGTGGAAGCCCAAGTGAGGGCATGTACTAGTCACATATTCCTGGGATGCAAGGGCACATACATCTAGTTCAGGAAAGTCAGGTCCTGCAAAGGCTATGTTCTAGCAAGCCAAGGTCAGACATGTTGAGGTCAAATTCTGATGAGCAGGGTCAGGCAAAGTAGAAGCCAGATTACAGTAAGGTGTGCTAAACAAAGCAGAGGGTAGCTCCTGCTGAGCCAAGTAATCCAAAGCAGAGACCACGGTCTAAGAAGGCAAAGTACCAAAACAGGGAGCACTTTGGATAGTTCCAAGCAGACTCTAGATAAGGCAGGCTTGACTATTGTTCCAAGAACCATCATACTGAGTCTTAAACAGGACTTTTAAAAAGCTTCCCACCTCTGATTAGAGACATCAAAGACTGTTTCTGAGGACAAATCCTCTTTATGGTGCTCTTCTGAGGATGGAGAGTTAGAATCCTGGGTTGTGACAGTTGTTTGTTAGACCGGTTAGTCAACACCCCTCTGCCAATCTTTTGAACCCTGCAACTCTGTCCAGTCATTCTAACATAAGCACCATCTTGTTAAGGAGAAGCTGGGGAAGGGAAAAGGCTGTAGCTCAGTGGTAGCTCATCTGCTTCACATGCAGAAGGTCCCAGGTTCAATCCCTGGCATCTCCAAATAGGACTAGGAGAGACTTCTGTTCTCTGGAGAGTCACTGCCAGTCAGTGTAAACAATACGGACCTAGATGGACCATTGGTCTGACTTTGTGTATGGTAGCTTCCTAAGCAGGCAAAAGCCGTTTGACAGTCCACACATGTTGGGGGCTGAGCTTCTTCAGCAGGAAGCCGGCTGGACTTGAGTAGGCTGTCCACACTGTTTAGGTTCCTGATCTTCCAGGGTTCTAAATCACACAGGGGATCTGCTTGAACAGAGAAGACTCCCCACTTTAGAAGATCAGCCCCAACATGGGTTGCCTTTTTGCTACAGGGCCATGGCCTGCTGTTCTCACACAATGGTGACTGCATGGGAAAAATGAGAATGACTGGCTTGTGTGTTCCTGTCTCCACGACAGAAGCATACACACCTCGTGGTTGTTGTACTACTCCTTCTTTTCAATTCTTAAGCTGCATTAAGTTCTTCTTCTTAAGGTGGTGAACTCTTTATTAGAGGTTTGTAAACAGAGGTTGGTTGGCCATCTGTCAGAGAGACGCTAGCTGAGATTCCTACATTACAGGGGCTTGGATTCGATGACCCTTGGGATCCCTTCTAAATCTAGAATTCTATGATTTGATTGCAGATTATGTTAAAATGAGATAAAGACACTTGGCACTGATGTTTGTGTAATCTAGTGGTAAGGGTAGGGCTGCCATATGTCTGGAATTTCCCATACATTACTGGGATTTCAAAGGTGGAATTGACGTCTGGGGGGAATTTCAGAAAGGTGGTGCTTTGTCCTGGATCTTAGGCAAGTCAATAGGGGTTGTCTTTAAAAAGCTCAACAAACTTTCAGGTTTTCCTTAAAAAAGCAACCCTAGGTAAGGGGGAAACACGTGGCTTCACCACCATGGCTACCACCCTTGATTGGAAAGGTCGTTAGCCACACTTGGTCTTCCATGTCCTTCCCAAGCAGTGTCTCCAGGCCACTAAAGGGCACGTATTGTGAATTCTTTTTTCTAGGAATGTAAATCACCTTCAGATCCTATAGGGAGTGCAGATTGGAATATTTAGTAGTATAAGCTGGGAAATTATTTAAATCATAAGAAATAGGGGTGGGCATTAAAGCACTGAAGTACTTTGGGGAAAAGAGAATATTGATTCCTACCCACCCAGAGATTAATGAAAGAGGGAGTAATGAAACATGTCAGAGAAAAGACCTTATGGCAGGGAGAGAGATGTTAGTTCGATCCTCTGCTTGACACATTAGTTTCCTTCATAGGCATTTGAAGAAATGCTGTAGTAAAACCAGAATTAGGCCAAATTACTAAAGCAATATTTAACTGCAACCTTTTCAGTGGGAGATACAACAAAAGTAATGCTGTTATTTGACAGCAGCAAAGGATAGAACATGCTGCAATTTCCTTCCAGGACTGTCGCCTTGATGAATATTGCAGTCAGCAGAGAAGGAGCATCTGATATGTTTTAACAAAGCAATGTAAGACTTTCCAAGGGCAGAGCACTGAAATAGGGAGTGAGGGAGAGAAATAAATTGATTTTTCCGGGGGTGGGGGTGATGAGAGAAGAAAGCAGAAGGAAAATAGCTGCCAAGAGCCGCCAAATGTATTGAAAAGATCGTTTAATATTTAAGTAATAGTCAGCTAAGGTTCTCCTACTACCAACAGTACAAGCTATTCAGCTATCAGGTGTCAATACACTTCGGAGGCTCTGCTCAGTGGAATGTGGCCTCACTGGCTGTGGAGTTTACAGTCTTGTTGGATGCTGATTTATGTACAAGTAGCAGAGGCAACCTTTTCATAACAACTTCTGTTACCACAGATGAGCACAAAGAAGTGACAGAAGATGTATTTTAAAAATAAAATAAAATTGATGCTCCCTTCTTTCCTGCTCTGGAAAATGTCAGCTTTACACATACAAGATAATGATGTAGCTGAAACTTTGCAGCATCTGTATGGCATCCATTTTGTTTTGTTTTTTAAATAATATTTATTGATAATTTCAGGATTACAAGAAAAATAAAAAATAAAAAACAACAACACTACAATACAAAAAAAAGAAAAAAAGAAAAAAAGAGAAAAGCACAAAATATAAAAACCAATACGACAATACAGCAAAAGAAAGTAAAAAGAAGAAAAAAGAAGAAAAAACACAAATCCCAAGTTGCATATCCGTAATTTCCATTTGCTTGTTTCATTGACCTCCTCACACCTCCCTTTTTGTATTCTAGTTTAATAATTATTTCAGCAAATTCTTTCCATCTTTCTCAATTTTTGTTATAAAATTTATCTTAACAATTTAACCTAATAATTAACTCAACAAATCCTTTCCATCTTTCCCCATATTCTGTTATTCAAATTATCTTAATTTATTTAACCTTATCTTACCCCTAAGTACCTTAAGACTTAAATCTTAGTTTTCAAATATACATAGCTCCTGATAACATTTCTGCTAGAGTCGTATAGTTTCATTCCCACATTTTCCCTAATATTCATTAAGCTGATTCTAAAATAAAAAATTTCCATTATAAATTCTCTTTCAATCATCATCCAGCGTCTCTTCTTCCTGGTCTCGGGTCGTGTCAGTCCTTACTGTCCAATCCATCTAGTCCATCAACCTGGAAGCCTTATGTCCGAGGCCCTTAAGTCTCTTCCATGTCCCTTCTGCAATTCTTCTTCATCTTGTTTATGCTTGCCCTTTTCCTTGTCTTTTGTTGGTCTCTGTCTTAGTTTCTTTCCTTTCTCATTGAGGAGTAGGTCTCTGGGGATTCCAACCCAAAATTGTCTCCATCACCCTTCATCCAGCTCGCCCATTCCCCACAGTCCCACTCCCCACAGTCCTCGATATAATCCAAAATGTATTTAAAATCAAATTTCAAGATCTCTCCAAAGCTAGGAACCTCCTCATCTCCAGACTCCCCTTGGCCCACTCCAACTTCAATCTTCAATAACAGCGGCTTATGCTCCTGTAGGGCCTCGGGTCTCTCCATTTGTACTATTTGAGGTGCAGCCGCATCCTCCTCCATTGTCATCTGCACTTGCCCAATCGGTACAGATTCATAGGTTGGTTCCTGAATGATTTCTGTATCAATGTTCCCTGTTTGTCCACAGTTATTAACCACAACAGTCAAATCCATTTTCTCATTCATCAAGTCCATCTTCTCATGCATCTGTTCCAGCAAAGCATTTGTCTTGCATAAAGCAAGCACCCAGTCTTCCTCCCAGCTCATCTTTGTTCAAGGTCAGAAAAGACTGTTCCCACGGTCTTAATCTCACAGATGTTGGGTCTCAAATATACTACAGCAACATTTTAGCAAGCTCCCTCTAGAGGAGACAAACTATTTGTATCCATTTTTTTTTTTTAGACAAAGGAAAGTTACTTTCATTTTTCAGATATTTCAGATGTTTTTCAGATATTTTGTTTCTTTAAAATGCAAAAGGCAACATTAGAATCAACTTGTTTCTCTTCATTAGCTATCTGTCAAAGTATTACGTTCACAGTCAATGAACCTCTCCAACAGTTTCTGTCTCTGACACCCCGTTCCCAGGTTAGAGACGGTGGAAACTTATCCTTCTTCACTCCCTCTCCTGCTAGGGTTAAACAGAGTCCCCCCCCCTTTTCTCCTGCTTCCAAGGGGGGTTTCAGTAATTCTGAATGAAGGAAATTTAGTCTTTTTTGACAGCTTCCCGGCTTTAGCTTGCAAAATTTTTGCTTTAGTCTATATACAAAAAAGCGGAAGGCGGACTTCCTGTTTGCACCTTCCCGCTTCGATACCAAATTAAACAATTTCTTGATCCAATTTTCCGTTTCTACTCACGGGTACTTGTTTTAAGTCCAATTGTCCACAGGAAAAAGTCAGCGCTCTCTGGCAATGGCTGTGTGGCTTCACTCCGTGGAAGTAGCAGTCAGTTTGCAGCACCACGCTTCTCACCCCACTTCGCTCCGGAGCCCCTAGATGGGATTCCCCGCGAGTAGGGGGGCGCTTCTGGTGCCCTGCCGAACCCCACGTTCCCAGGCTTCCTCCGCCTGGGATTTCTAGCGGGTCCCCACCTTCGCCGCGGCGGGAAGACCCAGTTTCCACGGAGCCCGTTCCTCCGGTCGGAGGAACTCCGCCATTCACCAATGGCGCTGACCCGGAAGTCTGTATGGCATCCATTTTGAATGCTTTTTGGGTACTGAGTCATTGCTCCCTACTATGCGTCATCATCGGTGAGACTTTGCAGCAGCCTTCCCTTACTTGATGCTGTCCAGATTTGGGCATGGCAGTGCTGATTAGGGCTGATAGGAGTTCTAGCCTAAAACATCTGGAGGATATATCAGGTCTGGCGAAAGTTGCTTTACCGCTTGTTTGACTTTTGCATGTTCTTCCTCCACACCAGCAGTTCTGATAGCTGCCTTGTTAATTTATTCCATATGTCATTTATTTAGCTTATGCTATTATATACCCCCTTCTTTAAGGATAGCTCCTCACAAAGTTGCCTTTCAGAAATTAGTCATTCAGCTGATGAGAAGAGGAGAGCCAGCACTGAAAGTTGGGATGCAACAACAGTTTCTCTGATATCAGCCTTCATAGACGTGTGTTTTTAAAAAACAGAGATTTATTTACCCTTGAGAATAGGATGCTAGACTAAAGGGGCCTTTGGTCTGATGCCACAGGAGTCTTCTTATGTTCTTATGTTCTTAGAGTATGGGGCCTTAGCAGACAAGGTTTACAGAAAGAAGCTCTGTGATTATAAGCCTATCACTGTAAAGCAGGTCACTTCAAGTTTTGATTCCACCCTCTTAACTTTCGCAGAATTGAGGCTTGTGCCTTTAGAAACACCGACTCAGAAGCATAGCTAATTTATGAAATGTGCTACCACAATAGGTATTAATGGCCACCAACTTGGACAGCTTGAAAAGGGGATTTTGCAAATCCTTAAAGAATAAGGCTATCAAGGGCTACTTAGTTGTTATGGCTATGTACTATCTCTAATATCACAGGCAGTATGCTTCGGTATCAAT